TCTCTGGACAGTCTGAAAGTATTAACAAAGGTCAAAAGAGCAACTTTTAGTCAAAATCCAATTCTAGGTTGTCCCATCCGCTGCCTGGTAGGTGTTTTGTTGTGCTGTGTTTGGCACTTTCCATTATTTTTATTCTCTTTTGATCCTTGGCCTGTTGCATAGCTCTCTTCTGAATTGTTGATGTTCTACAGGAGGCGTTTCGCGTGTCCTTTTCCCTTATCTCTCCTTTCCCTTTTCAACTGTAAATTCTCTTTTTTCCCTGTCCCTTTCTCTTCAAAAACACATGGTCTTCCTCTCCCAGTTCTGAGACTCTGTTTATTGGATTCACAATATTTTAATAGGACAAATAGATGAGATTGAAGGCAGGCAGCAGGCTCTGTACACCTTTTCTTCTTCTCCCTTGGGACTATGAATCCAGGTCTGCTGCTGGTATGAGTCATATCTATTTGATAGCGGTCTGCTCCTTTCTATGAAAAGAGCTTCTGAAGTGCATTTTGGATCCTGCAGAAAAATACATTTACGTGTGCTCATCACGAGCACAACAGACACCAGGTCCTATTGCTGTTGAGAGGCTCATGGAGAGACACAGAGTTGAGTGAGCACCTGAATCTACACAGGGCATCTTCATACCTACCACGCAGAGGTGGGACACGCAGAAGAAGTTTCCTTCTGCCAGCACTTGTCTTGGGAAGACAAAGAAATTTTAGCGGTAGGTTTGGGGATTTCTTCTTTTAGTTCGTTTCATGGAGTTGGGGGTTATGTTCCTCTGGACCTGAATCCAGGAAGAATCTCACAGCTTTGGCTTCATTACACCTACAGACCGCATCTGCTGTTGAAACGAATGCAGCAATGCCTGGCTCTGCTCGGATACAGGGATTTTTTGGGTTAATGTGGATGCCTCTAAAGTGCTTAGCAGCAATGAGGAAGGGAGGGAGAGGAGGGACGCAGAGATTCGGCTTTTCCACAAGGCTTTAACAACAGCTCCTGCTTTAACAAGATTCCCTATCTCTGAATCACATCATTAGAGCCACCCAATACACTCCTATAAGGCACTTGCTTGTCTGCTCTGATAAATTGCATCATCTAAACTTCACAAGACTGGAATATTCAAATAAATTTTTGAGGAATAAATTTTTGAGGACTTGTGTGATGTTACGGCGTGCGACTGGCAATTAGTGGTGGTTGCTTTTCCGCGGTGCTCCGACCTCTCGGGGGAGATCTGGAGCTGCCGATGGTGCCGCTCCTCCGCAGGGATCCACAAGTTGTTGTCGAGCCTTTCTCAATCCCAGCAAACCTCAAAGCTGGGGCCTTGTTAGGATGGGCTCTACCTTAGGCTGGTGGTGTGAATTTATATCCACCGAGGGGCCTTGTCGGAACCTTTCCATCAGCACTGCCGTGTCCTTTGGGCACTGAGAAAAACATCCTCACATTGCTGAATTTTTAAAATAGCTTCAGGTGTTGAGTCTTTGAGACAAGATCAGATCTTGGCAGAAAGCAACTGGGTTTGGGGTTACGGGTCTTGCTGCAGCGAAGCAGTGAATCCTTGGGCAGCAGTTGCCCACGTGGGTTGGTTTGTTTTGCCGCTGGCTGCATTTTTTGTGCTTTTTGAACAAACTCGAGAGCAACATGAGGCCACAGACCACCTTTTTCTTCCCTCTTTAGAAGCAGGAGCATAATAGCAATTTCTTCAAAATGGGAGATCTGTCTGCCATGGTAATTTCTATACACAGGTTTTAAATGCAGTCCTCAAGCAGGAATTCAGGCTCTGTGGCTCATTATATAGCTCGGGCAATGCAAGGACTTCTATGTGCTGCGATGTCCCCGCCTGTAAGTGGCCTTCAATGTACTCCCTTGGGGCTCCTCAAGAACAGGGCTTGAGTTTTGCCCCAATATGAAAGCTCCCACCAAGAAGCAGCTGGGCGGTGAGGAAGTGTGCTTGGATTTTCCTTATTCCCTGTGTAGTCGGTATGCAATATTAATCTCCTTGCTGAGCATGGGGTGTTCACACACCTGAAGGGCTCTCCAGGGAGTGGAACGTTCCCTTTTGTTCAGGTTCTGCAAAGCTCTCCATTCTGAGCCGCTGCATTGCAGTGTTTTCTCAACGTCTAAAATCTCCATCTTTCTCACTAGAAATGTCCATACGTGAGAGCTCACCCTAAGTCGTGGGGTGGCAGAGTCCCAAGGAAGCGTTGGGATTAGGATAGGATGGAAGTTGTGTTTTCAAAGCCATGGTAATTCATCCCAAGGACCCCCACAGAGCTGTCAGTATTAGGGACCTCAAAAACTAATAACATGATGTGACTGCAGATCTTTTCATACATGGAGGATTTATTTGCAAAATCTCTCTGCTCTCCCTGTCCAAAGTATACACTTACAGCTGCAACTGCGCCAAGAAAAGTATTGGCTGATAAACAGTATGGGAATCATAGGTCCAAGGATGCTATTTTAATGCGAGTATTCACAAGAAAAACATCAAGATTGCATGCTCTGCTGTCACTTCCTTACCTTTAAATGCTTAGCCTAGCAAACTTGGAGACAGAAATGCACCTAGTGAATGCTCTCTCAAGCAGGGATCCAGAACAACAGCAAAAATTTGTTTGCCAACAGCAAGTTTGAAATGCAATTCCTGGGCTCCAGCAGAACTCAACTGAGTTACCTTCTGAAAAAAGAGTTTCTCGCTGCAGTTTGTCTGTGTTATGGATTGCAGCTTGCACAGAGCAGTGAAATAGGGGTTCTTCAGACCAAAATGTCTGTTAAAGAAAGCAATCATCAGATGTATTTGCTGTCCTTGTGATACCAGTTTGTGTTGCTGGTTTAGGATGAAGGGCAGAATCTCATGCACCCCAGCAGTAGTTTAGGGTAGAGCATCATAGAGAGGACCTCATATGTATTCCTCCCAGGTGTAAAAATGCAAAATGCACCCTGCTTTGCTTTCTATAGACTATTAATGTAACGGTTCCTCAAGTGGGAGGCTGCAAAGAGCTCCCTTATTTTCATGTATTTTGTATGGATAAGTCACATTCAAGGAGGTAGAAACCAACGTGTCCTTTCCTACTTGCCCATCCCGGCAATGGATGCAGCTGCCCGCAGGATTTGATAACCTAAATCAAGAGAGGTGGTTCAGCTGGGGACAAAAACATATCCTTGAGATGTCTTCTGCTCTCCAGGGACCAGAGAGAGTCCTGGTATGTTTGTAGCATGATGGAGCAAGGGGAGATGTTTCCTGCCTGCTGTGAAAGTCAAAGACAGGTTTTTATGTAAATAGATGAACATGCATTTCCAAGCAAAGAGTGATCAAACCCCAGATATGAGCTTGGGACACCTACTTTAATGTATTTGCCTTCAAAATCCTGTTTGGACTTCCAGTGAGCCACTTTGGCTTTCCTGGCTCATGGGCAGAAGGAGGGAAAACATGGGCAATGAGCAGATTTGAATAACTCTTGCACTCCAAGCAAGAAACTTTATCCGAATCTCATGGAAATACCCTTTTGGAAAAGCTTTCTAGGGATTTCCTGAAGCACAAAAAGTTTTTTATTATTTCAGATAGCCAGAATGGGTCAGAATTAACCTCATCTTATGGAGGAGAGGAGCAGCTAAATTAACACTGCTGTATCCCTTTGAGAATGAAGACGTTCTTGTGGCTCAGTTCTCCAATGTAGCCAATGGAGAAGGTTTCTCCAAAACCACAGTACCAAGGATATAGCCCCGAGGCAACATATTTTTCATTGTCAAGCAGAAGAAAATCCTCAAAGATATTTTTTTAATGAAGGTTATTTTTATTTTATGCTTCTAATGAATTCAGCCGAGCAATTTTAAACCATTTCAGCGTCGTTGTTTTCTTTCTCAAGTGACAGCGAAGTCCCACAAATCTAGTGAGATGCTGGCAATAAAAGTACTTAGCAAGTATATAAAATGCCACTGCTGGAGTTATTTTGCTGCAGCTCGTTGCAGCTATTATGCTCAGCAGCATGATTCCTCATTGTAAGTTCATAAAAGATCTAATGACGGGAAGTTGAGGTTTGCAAAGTTGAATGAAAGTGGAATGCAAATTTGTCACAAAAAGAGCAACTAATGGTTGGAACCGTGTACAGAGGCCCATGGCAAATGTGCCGTCACTTGGAGTCTTTCAATAAACTATTTCATCCAGAAGCTGTTGGAATTAGATGTAGGAAGCATTGCCTGGCATTCCCCATGCTGCACAAAAAGTCCTACCAGAGGAGAGCTGCTGCTGCAATTCATTTCTTAACCAGCAGAAGAGGGAAAAAATGCCGTGAAAATCCATCCAGGGCTTTTCCCTAGTAGCTCTTCACAGAGGTGAGTATTGGGGAAGCTTAATGTCAATGCAAACGCTGGAGCACGGCATCGGCTTGAGCATTTACAAACCTTGAAGAGAGTTTTTATTTCAGATATTATGTACAAATCATCATTTGATGAAAAAACATTCATCTTGGTCATCCCTTTTCACCAGGTGCTGCATCCATACCGATAAAATAACGCACAGAGTAATACTCAGGGCCATTTTTTGTTGTCCTTTTGTCCTTTTAAGCCATCAGTTTTCGTGGAAATGTATGTTCTTTGGGAGTATATACGAACAAGATTGATTCAGGGCTTGGAAGGACTGACTCGCAAGGGAAGATTACAAGACCTGCATATGCAATACGTTATTTATGCATATAACACGGAGATGTGGAAAGCATCTGCAGGGCTCTGCAAGGTGTAAACGCCAACGGGAAGGGGCATTGCAGTTGGCTGGGCTGCAATTTGCAACTAAAGGGAGTAAAATTAAATTGAGAGCTTGTGAGCGAGAGGTGTTGCGAGCTGCAGAACTTTGCATTCTTTGTCACGAGGCGTTTTGAAAACCCCAGCAGGCAAATTTCTGCAAACGACTTGCTGGAATGTTTTGGCACTGGCCAGTCTGATGCTGCCGGGGACGGGGCTGCTCCCTTGTCCCAGGGACCCGGCGCTCGAGTCACGTTGGGTGGTTTTGCTCTGTGTTTCAGGGCTGCTTTTGGCAAGGAGTCGGAGGTTCTTATCGGAAACCTGGGGGATAAGTTGATCCCTCAGCAGGAGATCCTGCGCGACGTGAGCGACCTGAAGGCCTTGGCCAACATGCACGAGAGCTTGGAGTGGTTGGCTGGACGCACCAAGGCGGCCTTCTCCAGCCTCTCAGCCACCCAGGGTAAGCAGCAACCGTGGGCAAAGGGCACCTTTGGGACAAAACCTAGATGATTAAAATGTAGTGGTAGGGGGGAACCTCCTCTCGTGCTTGATTTGAAAGGGATTTTCCATCTGTTGACAACGTTGGGTCCTACCAGCTTGCAGGTCACCTATAGCATCTCTGCTAGGCATGTTCAGCCCTTCAGGAGCACCTAAAGCAGAGCAGCCCGACCTCCTTCACCCTGGTGAACACTATGATGGGACATCAGTTCTGGCTGCCTGGTGGGTGAGGATGCCAGGAGCATCACTCCCCTGGTTTAATAGCCCAAAAGGCTTTTCCAGTAACATGCCACGTGCACCACGGTGGCAATGCAGTGGTGTGGACATTGCTGGGGCACCATTCATGGCAGTCGGCTGCGTTGGAAAGAGGCAGCATTGCCCAGAAGGTGACATCCTTGACCGAGTAGCCACCTCCGTGCCGTGGTAGCCACACTGCAGCCCATGGGCTGCTGCTAAAAGTGTGATTATTGCTCATCTCAGGAGCTGAAAACCGTCGGCTCATCCACTCCATCCGCGCGCCGCTTGCTCGGAGCAGCAGCCTCAACAATCTTTTCTTCTCCTTACAAAGAACTCAGGGATACGCAGCCGGCCAGTTAACAGAATTGGCAGTCTGCCGAGGCATCTCTTTTCAAACAGGCTTTTACGTAATAGATAGGCTGCAAAATGCCAGGTCCTTTTATTCTGATCATTTAGGGGAAGAGTTTTGGGTGTATACCAAGAAACAAATGCTGTAGAGCTTCAGACAGCGCACACTGAATAGTGTGACAACTCTTAATCCGTGTCCCTTAGCGCTGCTGCTGTTACGAACTCCTGGGGATTTTATTCCGGCGCAGCTGGCACAGGGCTGAGCTTTTCTTAGGGCTTGGTTCTCGCCTGCCTGCTGTGACGTTCCCCAAAGCTGCCATGTGCCAGACGCTGGCCCTGAGGACGTAGCCGTAAATTTGTTCTAACGCTTTGCATTGCCCTAGGTCCCTCTAGTGTCACGTCGTGCATTTTACAAGCACGGAGCACCCTCTCTTTTCTCCATGCAGGCAATACAGATTATATTAAATGCAGCTGCTCCGGGCATGGAAGGAAGCATCTGTTTAATTGTAACGCGGTGCTGTAGATGAGGAGTAGAGAAGAAGAGCTTAACAAAGAAAAAACCTTGCTTAGCTTGGTAGGATACCTGGGTAAAAGGGGACATACTGAGGAGGGACTGCATTTTGGCCATTTCTAGCAGTGCTGTCACCCAAAAGCACATTTCAGTGGAGAATTCAGCATTGAAAATCACCTCAGTCTTGTTTTCCAAGAAGGTGATGGAGACATTTGTTGGTACTAAACAGAACAGTGGTCACTTTATATCTCAGCTATGGATAGCGCTTCTCTCTAGCTGAGTGGTAATCTTAAGGCAAATGCTCTTAAAATTCAATAGCGAAATTCCCAGAACTTTATTTTAGTTCCAGAGGGACTACTTTTGGATGAAGAGTTATGTTCTGTCACAATTGTCAGAATCAGACTCTTCCTTGATAATTTCAGTTCTATCTGGACCTCAAAACCTCAATATTTTCCAAACATAAAAGGGCACACACTTGACTTCCAAGGTTCTGAGAGGATGCAGCTGTGAATACTCATAAAAGTAGGAAGTGTAATATTTTATTTGGCAGCATCCTGCTGACAATAAAAATCCATCTTCCTTTGTAATAACTTTATACAGACACACTGAAATGGCTGTATACAAATGCCAGGAGTGTCGGAAACAAGAGGAAGAAGCATCAATGTTAGGAACTGATAGTGGCTGTTGACCTCGTGGTTATAAATGAAACCTGGTGGGATCTTCCTCATAAATGGAACATCAATAGAGCCGACCACGGTCTATATGGGAGAAAGAAAAAGCGGTGCCGAGGGGCACAGGTGGTGGTGTAAGTCAGAAGTATTTACAAATCCAGCAATGATATATGGAGGAGCACAGTTCTTTGGGGAGGAGAATACAAAGAATGAAGAACAGAGGGAAAATGAGATGAGCTGCCTGTGAGCTTCCCACCCGGACGAGGAGGAGAACGGCAACGCAAATGTGCCTGGGCTGTGCTGGGAGGAGAACGGAGCTAAAACCACCACGTTTTGTTTCGGAGTCATGCAAAGTTAATGTGGGCTGCTCCATGCTGCTCTTTGCTGGTTTGATCACCTGCATTTCTGAGCATCAGATTGCTGCCAGCCCCAGCATGTTAATGAGAATCAGGGCACGGGAAGGAAGAAAACTGGGCAAAAGTAGAGCTGAATGAAGGATTTCTTTTTTTGCTACCCTTTACTGTAGCTCCTCAAACTCAGATCCAGATTGCCCTGAGTGGCTTCCTCGACTCCCAGCCCTTCAAAAGTTGCTTGACCTCTTAGAATCATAGGATCATAGAATGCTCAAGGTTGGAAGGGGCCTCTAGGGATCATCTAGTCCAACCCCCTGCACATGCAGGGTCACCTAGAGCACGTGCAACAGGACTGCGTCCAAGCGGGTTTGAAGATCTCCAGAGAAGGAGACTCCACAACCTCTCTTAGACCATTCTTCAGTTGAGCACGACTTTGTTTTTAAGATGTGCAGGTGTGAAACCAAAGATTAGCCCATCTGGACTGCTTGGGTCTTCCTACACAAGCAGGAGGCTGTTACTGACCCCGCTCAGTGTTGGGAGCTGAACTGAGCTGTTGGGCAGCTGCTGCCTTCCCTTGAGCAACTCTATCATCTTCTGCTTTATTGTGTGTTAGTCTTTGGAATAAATGCTGCATTATGGTGTCTATGCCTGAACAAGAGCAGTAATCCCATTAGCTGGTAATAATCCCATTAACTGGCAGGGTTTTATTATCTGTGCACACTGCATGTTGGGCCAATGCATGATGAGGAAAAGAAAGAAGTAAGGAACCAACTTGAGCAACCAACTCAACTAGTACTCAACTGGACTCAACTGACTGGTGCTCCCTGTTACGATGACGACTCAATGTGCATCTTAACTATCATCTCCACCATGTCTATGGCACAGTGGTGGTAGCTGCGCTGTCCATCCTTGGAGAAAGTCTACTGCTTTTTCCTTGACTGTAAATGGGCAACTTCTGGACATAGCTAAAATGTTAGGACACGGAGAGACAGAGTTGGAGACGTATTGGATGTCTATTGGGAAACCTGCTAAAAAAAGAGGGTTTTTCTGGTTGGTTTTGTGGTTGGGCTGCCGAAGGCCCCCTTACTCCAAATAAAAATTCAATAACCTTTCACTGTGAATGTGCCACAATTATCACCCATTTAAAAACAGTCTTGCTAATAGAGTGTTTTATCATGCTGGGCAGTCTCAGCATTCTTCATTATTTAGTGTTTGCTAAGCTGATGGCTCTTCCCTGGCTCTCCCCTTATCTGCATTCCCTCAGAATTGGATTTTGTATTTTCCGAAGCACTCAGATATGACAAAGTCATTTTCTTCTTCTCTTGTCTTTTGAGGGAATACAAACTTCTTTTTAACAATAACCATTTCGGGATTAAAGTTGCAGGAAGTGGATGAATTAGCCAGGGAAGTCGAGAAAATTTTTAATAGGTTATATATGAAAAAGGGAGTGAGATTTCCTCTCCTCTTCCTCTGCTGCTCCACAGCTGTGCTGTACAGATGTGTTGCGCACACATCCTTTTCCCCTGCCTGAACTTCAGCCGTCTGAAACCCTCTGAATATTGAAAAAAAATATCATCCATCATTATGGATGATGAAGAAGTTGGGGCAGTCTTTATATTTTTAAAGTGATTGCATTTTGTGGGTGGATAGAAAGATGGAAGATGAGCCATTAGTGCAGCGAGCTGTGGGTGCCCTTTGGAAGCCCTTTTGGCATCTTCTTGGCTTTGGATTGCTGCAGTCAGCAGCTCGCGCCCGGCTGAACGGAGCACTGTGTTTAAAACATGAAGCCAGGCTTGTCTTCTCTTCTAGATGACTTTTTGGAAGCCAAGTGAAGTATCACTGAATCCCGGAATGGCTGAGGGTGGAAGGGACCTCTAGGGATCACCCAGTGCAGCCCCTGCTCCAGCAGGGACACCCAGAGCACGGGGCACAGGGTGGCATCCAGGCGGGTTGGACATCTCCAGAGAAGGAGCCTCCACAGCCTCTCTGGGCAGCCTGTGCCAGGGCTCTGGCACCCTCACACCAAGGAAGTTCTTCCTCACATGGACGTGGAGCTGCCTGGGTTTTAATTTATACCCATAAAGCATTTACATTTACAGTATGAGTTTGTGCATGTCTATTGATAAGTAGATAGGCTTGCATCTGTCCAAAGCTTTGCCAACTCCATTATCCTCACTTTCTGCTTCTCGTCTTAAATGAAGAATTTTGGGGCAACCAAACCAAACTGAAGACTTATGGACTGTCCTCTTAAGGTTCAGCTTGGCCCTGCTCATGATTTGCCACCCCAGATCCTCCGCATCCTCCCCAGTGTCCCTCAGATGTTGCCACAAGAACCGTTTAAAGAGAACCCATTGCCACAAAAACCCTGGAAAATGGCAAGATTCAAGGTCTTCTACGTGAGCCTGACTTCAGGCAGGCTTCGGGCTCCCCCCCGTGCCTGCAGTGGCTGAAAGTTGAACTCTAGATATTTGATAAAAAAAATATTTGAAACACAGCAATTCTCCCGTAGCGCTAATACTTCCCATTGCCATATTTGACGCTAATCCAGCGGTTTCCACATTTGCAGCCTTCACCTCGGATGGGGTTATGAACCTGACAGGTTTCATTGCAGAAACTCGTAGAAGTGAAATCATGAGGACACCAGCAATAAAGCTGAGGAATCGCTGGCTCCATGCGTGGATGCTGGAGGGTAGAGAGAACTTGGCTGTGCCCTGCGAGCTGAGGTCTGTTAGGATTGCTATCAGAAGGTAATTTGGTCTGTCAGTGGGTTTTTAAGGTGTTATAAAATGCAGAAGTGTTTTCTGGAGATTCAGCAAGGAGAAGTTGCTGTGATTTGTGTTCTAACGAGGGCAGAGCTTGGCCCAAACTCAGTGTGAGGCGTCTGCAGTTCTTCCGGGCCTTTCCTAGAGATGAGCAATCCATATGGCAAGCTTCTTTTACCCTGGATGGCTCCAAAGCAGATGACCTTCTCCTATTCACAAGCAATTCCCCCCCGGAATCAAGGGATGACATGAAGAAGATGCCATCACTGCTGCTTCTCCAGATGGGCACCATCACCTGCAGCCTTCCCAGGGAGATGGAGCTTAACCAAGAAGTGCAAGAGAAAAAATGCTTGGCTTTTAAGCAAATAGTGCAGATTACCTGTCATCACCTGGCTCTTCTTAATGCCAGCGCTCAGCATTTGCATTGCATTTTCCAGCCACAGATCTCAGAATACTTGGAAAAGGTAAGTGAAGGCCATTACAGGATGAGGGCCACTTAGCATCCCGCGTGTCATCCGTCCCTCTGCCTTGTGCCACAGGCCTCCCGCTACCAGAATAGGCTTCGATGGCTGATGCTGCAGCACTCGAGAAAGTGAGGTCTTTAAAATTGATGTTGGAGCCCCTTTATATCACTCTGCCGGAGTAAAGGGGCTATAATTTACAGTCACTTTAAGGCCCTTTTCTGCTGGCAAAGTGCCGCAAAGGGGCCTCAGTACAAAGGAAAATCAGGCCCGACGTGGTGTTAAAATTGATGCCTTTCATTTAGCAGTCAGGCCACGCTGCAGCAGTGAACTCGGCCGCGCTTGTGCTTAACCCCAGTGTGTCGAATGGACTGAATTCAGCTTTTAGATGTGGCTGTATTTCTCATAAGCTGGGGCTTGGG